CTGAAGTACAATTCGACGGCGAAATTTGAAGTGAAGGAATACAGTAAGTAACGTCTGTAGTTTCATAGCAACGGCTCTATCGAGCGAGATCCATCCCCACCCCACCCCCACCGCACGCGCGCGAGCGCACACACACACGCACACACACACACACACACACACACACACACACACACACACAATCACGTAAACATACACGTACACACGCACACACGCGCGCGCGCACAAACACACGCGCACGCACGCACGCATGTACACACATGCCCGATCTTAGTTTACGCTTTTCACGTGAAAATACGAACTCGATTCTGCACCAATTAGTAAATAAAACCACTTATTCGCCTTCACCGCAGTTTTGCTACTAGAATCGGATAATGTTACTTTACAGCTACATTTCACAGCGCAGTAAACCAGCTGCCGTTCTCAAGGTCGATCGATATTTATCGAATTTTCGATAACAAAAATAATACTCTTTAAACGAAAATAAACTCCCAAAACGATTTTCCTGAAACAGTGAAGCAGTGATAGCGAGCTGGGTATCTGCTAGCTCCCTGCATGGATGACGTCACGTCGGCTCGCAGTCGACAGCGTCGCAACAACAAACAACACCCTCTCGTGTCGGTCCAGTTGTTCCTGCGGCAAAAATATTATAAAAATTAATAATAAATATAATGAGAAAAAAATCTTGATGAATTTTGCCTCGCTACGCTCATTAGTTATCTAGAGTAAACTAGAGTAATTAGTCTGCTCTGCGGGGGTTGATTCGATGTTGCGAAGCGGACCCGTTATTAAGACGGGCGGAGTGTCATTACAATATGCAAATTAGGATAGAGAAACCGAACCAAAGTTGGATTTAATGACGGGTCGTGTGAGCTGGCAGGATGAGTATTTTAATGAAAAATCATCACGTGATCGCGGATAATAACGCACGCACAAATACTTGTCAATTACAACCAGCAGTGAAGGAATAAAAAAAAGTGTAATAAGATGACGATGTTATTTTCATTCACGCGCGACTCTAGACTATCTATCACGTATTTAATATCGTATTCTATCATTTCATCAATGTCATATTATGTACAAAGCGATAGGAATCGCTCACTGCCACTATAATCACACTAACACCCTTCATGACATAACAGTACTTCATGATCAGACGTGTTAATTCGTTGCGATAATGATCATATCGGTAGCGTCATCATATAGATCTATATTATGAGGCTCCTGGGGCCCGTTCTCAGAAACAAAATTAGTCTTAACATTAGTCCTAACACTAACTTTCACTCGTAAACCGTTGACAGAAACATCGCAAAGTTACGAGAATGAAAAGTCCTCTCCAATATCCTCTTAACATTACGAGAGCCCAGACCCTCTCATAACTTTAATATTAAGATGAAAATAACCCATTTAGACTAAGAATTACAATTATAGCGATATTATATTTTATATTAATAGTAATATGTGTGTTTTTCTTGAAAAAATCGCCACAAACATTAATTATCTACCAATCGTAAAACAAAACAAAACATTTACAAATGGCGTATGGCATTTGTTCTCTTGTTTTAAATACTTTGACACTGACCACGACTCTCGCGTCGTCATATAACTCTGCCAGTGTACCGGCGGTGTCACGCTGAGTTACAGAGCACTGATCTATTCAATGTATCGTATTTATAACGTCGATAACAAGTATAGTATACGTGAAGTGGTATCGTCTATGTTAGTCCCTCGCCATGATGCACGGGTGATGTATATATTATAACTCTGACTCTTCTTGCCTTTTCAGTTTTGCCCACCTTCTCGGTGACGGTTGGCGCGCCTCGATTCATACTGCCGCAGGACGAACGCATCTCGGGAAACGTTAGCGCAAGGCACGAACAAAATACTCCTGCTCTCTTTTGTCAATAAATCGATAGTATTTAAGGATATATATATATATATATATATATATATA